AAATCGTTACAGCGCCAACAGCGGTGGGTAGCAGACGGTCGTTGAATGGGGTAGGCCAAAAGGTCATCAGTTTGCCTTCTCCATGCTGTTTTTACAATGAAAATCGAGCGAACGCTGTAAATACGGCTAGAATTTAAATTTTTGTTCGAGTTTACATGCAATCTGCTAATATATTTGTTTATTTTCTGTGCATATACATTTCGTTCGTATTTACTTCTTTCTTTCGTGATCGGAAGACGATTATTAAAAATACTGCTGTAAATTGAAACCACTGTAGTTGCGTATCGTGAGCAATAAGTGGCAACAATGTCGGGCGACAATGAATTCAAGCGATTGACACATTGCCATGAATACACTTGATAACTGCTTGCAGACTTCCAATGGACATTGTTTATGTTTGGACTGTTGAAACAATAGCAAAATAAAGGGTTGGGCAACTACTCTTTTGTTTAGGCTTGGGAAGAACAATGCAAGCTTTTTACAAATAATTTCAGCTGGATGTACGTTGGAGGGCGGGTGTTGAAAGTTACTGGGCGGCCGTAAAACTTGATGGGCGGGCCGCCCGCCTAAAACCCCTTGTGGAGAACACTGTGCGCATATGTTCAGAGCATCTATGTACCAAGTTTCATCATAATCCAATGAGTGGTTCTTTAGATATCAGTGGAACAGTCATAGAACAGCTAAAAATTAGCTAATTATCATGCAAATTAGGTAATTAACGAGCATGGATTTTTACCAAAACCTAATCAAATCTGCGCATTGGCCCAGAGCATCTATGCACCAAGTTTCATCAAAAACCGATGTATGGTTCTTGAGATAGCAGTGGAACAGTCGGACACACATACACACATACACACATACAGACACACTAACTGCAAAGACTCCCATTTTGTGCTTCGCACATGGGAGTCAAAAACGGCATTGCTGACATCAAAAACGTAATCTGTTTTAAGTTTCATTCATTAAAAATAAGCTTATTGACAGATTACTAAATGCAATGAATGTTTTAATTTAAGTTGGGTGGATGAATGATTTTAGTTCTTGTTCAGACACATTGCACAAGAATCACAATTACTGTAAAAAACTTTCGCTGAAAAGGCTTTTATTCTTGTCCTAAACACTTAGTTGGAACCCACAACTCAGGGGTGGTTAGTTATTGGGATGCGATAAATAAACTGATTCTAATTGTCATATGGAGGTTCATAAAATAATGATTGAAGTACCATTCTCTGTACCTGATCCTGCCATGGAAGTTGATAATTGTGTTGCCATAGAAACTTGTGATGAGGTATTATCCCAATGCCATACAGAACCATCTTCTGAACATGTAAATAGATTGTCTGGATTCGATGGATGGAACTTCACTTCCCACACTGTACAAATACACAATTACGTATATGTTAAACAATTGTCTTTACTCTTGCCATGGAATACCACAATTAACTCAGTTCTAGCATGCCCACTAACAGGAGACGTTATTGTACTGTTCAGTTTTAGGGTGCCCTCAGACAGGAGACATTTTGTAAAGATCATGAGACAAAATGAAATTTCCCCCAAATCAAATTCAGTCGGTTCATGCTGTGGAGAGAGAGATCTTCAAAAAAAAATTTTTTTAATGTGACTGGGAAGGTAAGGCCAGACTTTTTTATTCCTTGTTTCTCGAGTTTTTATAAGGCAATTTTTTTGAAGAGGGCAGAAAAAAAATAAAATTACCGTAAAATCTGTATTAGAAGCCGCATCCCTAATAGAAGTCGCACCCATTCTTTTTAAACAACTGGGAACCAAAAAATCATCATTTCTCATATGTGTAGATGCTCTAATAGAAGCCGCACCCCCCTCTATTGGATTGTACCATTTTAATAGAAGCCGCGGTTTCTAATACAGATTTTACAGTAATTCTTTTTTCCCCATTAAATTTGTGTGATTCTCAAAGAATTGTAAGTGAGATCATTGAATGGAGAGAAGAAATGAAATAAAATTTTATTCTATGTATAACATTGTTTCTCATCTGCGCGAGACTTTGGTACTTTGATCATGATACTCCCACGAAAATGCAACTTACATTTGGTATGAGGCAGGCAATTTTTTAGCAATTTTTTGCGCTTACAAGTCGGCGGGCGCAAGAAATTATGCTGAAATAATTGTTTTTTTTTTCATTTTTGGCTTCTGTTCATTCGGCGGGTTCGCGAAACAAGGGATAATAAAAGTCTGCCCTAACAGTGAGAAGCCTAATCCAAGCTGTCTTAGAACAGTAAGAAGCCCATCCCAGGACATCAAAAAGCTCAGCCCAAACCTGAATCCACTTTGATGTACTTACTATCAGAACTATGCGCATCAAGTAACGTTACAGGATACGTATCTTGTCTCATATCCCATATCGTTAAGACGCCATCTTGACCACCTGTCGCCACGATGTGAGGCTGGTTAGGGTGCTTATCTATACAATGTAAAGGAACTCTTTCACCGGTTCTGAAAAAAAGAGGTGGTCAAATTACAATGTTGATGAACAAAATTATGACAAATATATGGCGAGTGATATCTGAATGCTATCTTATTTACCAATCTGATGAGATTGATGAATTTGATGAGAGTAGATATTGCTTTGATTGTTTTTGATACTAGTGTACATTGCCTCAAACTACAACAGAGCACCTAATGACAGGAAACTCTCCTGAGATCAATCAATCAACTACGCAGTGCAGTCTGTTAGACAAATACACAGTTTGGATGCTGATCCTACAAGGACTGAACATGATTTGCATATTGGTAACTGGTGTAGAGTTGTAGCAGAGCCACAGACATCAGCAGTTACAGAGAAATTTATTTTATAAGTCTACTATACAATCAATACTGTATTTGCTCAATTAGAAGCATATGTGCTTATTGTGAATGACGTGCATCTAAAATCAAAATTTCAATGATCTAGCATTGCAATTCCAGGTTGATACGCTTCCAATATAGAAAATACAATATGAAAAGCATACATACTAACTAATGAATAGTAAAAGAAGTAATGTGAGTATTATGGAGTGGAGAGGAAATAAAACTTCACTTACAGTACAAATGTTCTACTTGGTTCTGAACTAGATTGTCTTAAATCCCAGATTTTTAATTGACCCGTTGAACTAACTGTGATAACTTCGTATTGCTTTAAATAACTTACTGCATGTATTGTACAACTATCTGCATTATCTGAAAAAGATCAAAGGAAACTCACAATAGTTCACTGATTACATACACTTTAAAACAAGACAGGATTATTTTCTTTGTGCTAGCTTGTTGATTACTAGACAAAAGCTATGTTTAATGCTTAATTCTAGATAACAGAGACAACACCATAAAAGTCTCATGTTTTAATGTTAGGGTAGTCGTACATTTTTGGTAGGAGTTATCATAACCACACATCTTTTACTTTCCTTCATCACACATCAGTATGACCTTTGACATTTGTTTTACATGAGGGAGGAGCAGGATT